AATGGGAATTAATAAATCAATTATGTTATGTGTTAGAAGTAAGTTTAATTAATTTTTTTTATTTAATATAAAAATATCATTAAAAAACTTCTATGATTTTTAGATTTTTAACAAAACTACTGAACATATGTCAAAATCACAATATATTACACTTCCTCTTCTATTCCTATTTATAATATATTACTTGGTCATCTAGAAAAAATTTTAGATACTAAAAGTAATTATTGCTTGAAAATACATACTGCTGTATTAAAAGGATATGAAAAACTTAAGAAATATTATATTAAAACAGATAAGTCATATGTTTATTCTATAGCAACAAGTAAGTAATTTTTTATTTTTCTTAAAATTAAAATATATATAATATTTTAATTTTTATATTTATTTATTATTTAATATTAGATCCTAGAATTAAATTGCAATACTATTAAATATAAAGAATAGGAGCAAGAATATATAGATGCAGCATTAAAAGCCGTTACAAATATTTATAATAAGAATTATAAACATAATTTACCAATTATTATCGATAATGAAGTTGATGATCCAAATGATTTTCTTATTAATGTTTTTGAAAAAAGTAACGAAATTAATAAAGTTGAATTAGAAGATTATCTTCAAAAATCTGTAATTCCATTTAAGACAGATCCATTACAATGGTAGAAGGTAATTATATTTTATTAATTATTAATTTAAGAAAGATTTATTAATTTATATTACATATATATAAACACATAAAGAAACTTATTCACAACTTGCATCTATTGCACAGGATTTTTTATCTATACCAGGTAAATAAGAAATTTTTTTAAATTTTTTTATAAATTTAATTTTTATTCAATATATAGGTATAAGTGTATCTGTTGAAAGAATATTTTCAGATGGCATTGATTTAATTATAAAGAAAAGATCTAGTTTAAATCAAAAAAGTATTAGGGCATGTATGTGTCTTAAAAATTGGATAAAATTTTTGATTATAATAATTTTATAATTTTTTTTTACTATTTTTGTTATAGTAAACCTTTTAGTAATTTTTTATTAATGTATTAAACAAAAAGAGTGATAAAAAAATAGTGGAAGGAATATAAATACATTTTTTTTATAATAAAATAATTATAACGGAATTGATTAATTGAATTAATAATTGTTTATTATATTATTATTTATATTAAATATTTTTTAATGAATAAATAGAAAAAATTTCCTTTTTTAGATCAGATCAGGTCGGGTCAGGTAAACCTGATCTGACAGGTTGACCAATCAAATTGAATATATAATTAATATATTAAAATTTATCGTTTAGACTATATAAACTTAATTTTATAGTTTATATAATATAAAATTTTTAAAATTAATATAGTAATGCAACTTTTAATTTTTTTTTAAAATATTTTATATGTAAAATTTATATGAAATTTTTTTAATTTTTAAAAACATTTGTTTAGTATATTAATATATATATAAATTTTTTATTTAAATTTAACAAAAACTGATTTAAATAGCTTTAATGTAAATTATAATTATTAGTTTTACATTATTTTATTTAAAAATATAAAAATAATTAAAAAATTAAGAAATAAAAAAATCAAAAAAAATATAATATTTTATTTTTTTTTAAATAATTTGATCAAATTAAGTTAAATTAAAATAGATCAGGTCAGATCAGATCAAATAAAAATTTAAATTAGGTCAAATTTTTATTTGACTTGACCTAACCCTCTCAGTTCAGGTAACTTAATTGACTTGACCTAAACTGACCTGTTCAAAGCTTTAGTTTCTCTTAATGCTTAGAAACTTGTTTAATGTGATTGATGTGTTGTTTAAAAGATTTTGAATAAATTATGATATTATCTATGAGACAAATTTAGCTGCATAAGGCTGTAGAACATAATTCATGAGTCTTTGAAAAGTTTCTGAAGCATTATATAATCCAAAAGGTATTGTGTTAAATTCATATAACCTAAAATAGGTAATAAAAGCAGTCTTTTCCTTATCTTTTTCTTCCATTTCAACTTGCTAATAACTACTAGCTAAGTCTAACGTAATGAACTAATTTATTGTTCTAAATGATTCTAACATGTCATCAATCTTGGGTAAAGGATAAGTATCTTTTTTTGTTACTGCATTCAATTTTCTATAATCAACACAAATTCTTTTATTTCTAGTTTTCTTTACTACAATTATAACAGGTGAGGCTTATAGATTCTTTGATTTTCTAACAATGCCTTTCTTTTCTATATCTTTAATTTCTTGACACAAAAATTGTTGATTATCTAGGCTGCATCTATATGCTGTTTATGCTATTAGTGTGTTCTTTTCTAAAATGATAGAATGTTTGATAATAGCAGTTCGTCCTGTATCTGTTTAACTTCAACGCACAAATTGCTATTTTTTTTGAGAGTTTGTTAAAAAGTATTTTGTTGACAAATAGATTAATCTTGCTACTTGACTAATCGACATGATAGGTTAATATTGAAATGAAACAGTTTTCTATTCAATTTATGTCACTCAGATAAATGGAACATCTCTTTTTGAATATTCCCACCTAAAAAGATCCAGGTTCGTATGGATGCTTGCTATGTAAATTCATTTCTTACACAATGTTATATATACATCTCTTATTTCAATGTCATTATTTGATTTCTCAATAAATCATATTATTTGCTAATTGCATGTACAAAATGTAAGGTGTGTTATATAAGATGTGACAAATAAAATTTTTCTATAAAAAAAATTCTGTTCCTAGAATAAACTGTAAAAATGAAACACATAGGGGTATGATGCGTTGTGGTAAATAACCCATAACCCTAACTCTGCTTCAACATATATAAATATAGGATGCACTTTGTGCAGGATGCGCAAAATACAAATTCTCTTTTTTTATTGCTGAAAATTTGATAAATATTCCTAATTTCAAGATATACCAGGTTATTACTCTGAACACATTCTTGAAGTTTGTAACACTCACCGTCACCCATCTTTTCCATTTCTAGTATCTCGTGTTCCAATTAATAAATCAATAGCACAACTTGGAGGCTTGAAAATTTTATTAAACATGCATAACACAATGATTAGAATGATTATTCAACCAACATTGATCATTAATATGTAAATTCTTAATTAGGAAATCTGAAAGATTATCTTTTTATAGGATTTTATTAAATATGAATTAAAAGCGCTGAGATTGTAATATTATTATATGTAAATAATACGGGTATATGATAAGCTTTAAAAAAAATTTATTTGATCTACACAGTTTTTGAAAATAGATTCGATATCAGATTTAAAAAATTAAATAAATCCGTAAATAAAACAAACCCGGTTTCAAATTTAAATTCTGTTCAATATATTTTGGAAAATTTGTTCTAATTTAAAATAAAAAGCAAAAAAAAAATCGTTTTTATATTCTACATTGTGATACAATAAAATGTCAAATTTGCAAATTCATTATTGAAACTTTCGAAACCCATCGAAACTGTCGAGAAAAGTTATGACTTTTGCCATAATTGATTTAAGTTTTGCTCTACAACTAACTAAATCTACGAACAAAAAGGACAAGCGTGAAAACCTGACAATTTACAACACAAGGGATCCCTTTCAGCATCAGGACAGTAATAGCATTCATGCCTTTTCACCAAGCTTGAAAGTTTTTCGCTAGAAGAAGGAATTGAGAAAGCAACATTACTGAAAGCTGAAATGATGATAATAAGCATGAAATGTGTATTTTCATAATGAATTTGAAAATATTTGAAGGATTAATATCACAAATGTTTTTATAATATTTGAATTTATAAACAGAATGTAGCTTAAAGACATGTATTTATAAGCAAACCAGATTAGGGTTACAATTTAAATTATTTGTTGTCTATTGACAATGTGTTGTGATAACAAAATTTTCTCACTTTATATAGTTTTTTTAAGTATCAGGCTTACTGGGCTATCCTTAAGAAACTTGCTATAGATTCTCATAGAGAGCGTTAAAACCTTTACATCAAATGCTGTAATAAATATTTGCAACCAATCACACTATAGTAAATCCTAATATAATCGGTTAGAAAAAAAAATTTAAGCTATTGTATATATACAATGAATATAATTCTCCCACATGTTCAACACAGCGTTCATGTTAATTTTAGTTGGACTATGAAGATCAATTCCAGCCAGTTTGCAAATAGATATTGCTGTTGTGTTGTAATGATATTGTTTGCTGTAACTTAAGAGGCTTTGGTAATGTAACTAAGTAAGAAGCCTTGATAACATAACTAAGCCAAGAGGCTTTAGAAACAAAGCCAAAAGGCTTTTATAACGGTACCTAAGCCATATATTAATAAATTCAAATTCCTTTCTTATTTCAATAACAAATTATATATATTTCGATATGTAGTAAGTAATTAAATAATAGATACTGTTTACGTCTTATATAATTCTGCTCGAAAGATCACGATTTACTCTCATAAATTGCTTTTGATAATTGTGGCTAGTCTTTTAGATCAATTTTTGAAGTTCAGTTCTTTCATTTTTAAACAATTTTAAATGTAAGCAAAAAGTTTTTATTGAGTAAAAATAAAGTAAACCACCTTTAGTTAAATATTCAATATTTTGTATATTATTATATGGGATCCATTCAACTATTCTATGTGGAAGAACTGATGTCGACTAACAATCCTGTATTAAATTATCAATTTTATTATTTCCTGATGTCCATTCTGAAAATTTTGATACTATATAATTATGAATACAATGTTCACAAAATATTATTGCTAAACATTCTTGTTTGCAGTTTTAACCAACACTTTTTTCTCCTTGATTGAAAATAACTTTGTAATAGTCATTATCTTTAATTCATAATCTTATTGCCTCTGATTTTTCCTCATCAGTGAGAAATTTGTCAGCATAAATTCTTTGCAGAATTTTTTAAAATTGAAACCATATTGTGACCAAGTCGAAAATTTATTATAAGCCTTATAACCAAGATTTAATCATGATAAATTTATGTTCATCATATGGTTAAAGTTGATTCATATTAAGGAAATCATCAATTGATTTGATCGAGTCAGACAAAAATGTGTCAAAATCATAAAACATGTATATTAAAGTTATATTAAAGTTAAAGTATATTTATGGTAAATGTATATTAAATTTTTATTAAATAAATATTAAAATTATATTAGAATAATAGATAAAATTACATTAAAATTATAATAAGTTATTTTTCAAAATCGTAAATAAATCATAAGGTGTTCTACAAAATCTATTTAAGAAATATTAAATTATTTTATTCTAAATCGAATCCATATTATCTAATCTGTATTATGAATGTATAATATCAATAAATAAAATATCAAACAGCCTTAAAAAAATACATATTCCTCATACAAACTATTTCTAAAATCGTGATTACCTCTGGCAATATTCTACACCTTTACAAACATGAACAAACTGTACAGTGTTAATTGACATTCACTAAATTAATAGAGAAAAATTTTCACCAATTACTTGTCATTCACAATCTGTATACCGGACAATCTAGCATTGTTTGATCTATATCTTCAAACCAATCAACGGTAATAAAAGCAAAACGAAGACCATTCTCTTGTTAATGACAGAATATCACTTTAATAATTGCATAATTTTCTCCTTCTTTGATTTTGATAGATACAACATCTCCGATATGTAAATGATATAATACATTATCGCCATTTTCTTTGATAAAGATGAAACTAGCATATTTGAAAATGATGTCATGTTATTAGATATCACGGAATTGACCCCTAAACTTGCTTCAATTCTGCTTGAATAATCAATAATAGCAATTTTTCAATATCTTTTTGAAAAATACGTTTCTTTAATAATATATTAGAAATGCATTCATCTGGAAAAAAAACTTCAAAGACAATTAATTGGTAAATTCTTTATTTAATAAATGCTTTCATATTGAACTATACCTTCGCTTACATCATCCTTAAAATCAACATTATCTTTTGTAATATTCCAGTCACCTATCAAATGTTGCAAATGTTTTGGTAAGTTCATAAATCCACTGTTTGATATAGAAACTGCAAATATATTCCTCTGTCTAATAAATGCTATATCACAAACAATGTGGTATAATGTTTAAGTAGATCCAGACTTACATTTTTTAGATTAATTCATGATATAAGACTTTTGAATATTTTATGAACCATCTCTTTTGTTCTGATACTCATATTTAACAATTTCACATAATACTTTGCATGTAATAGTAGATGAAAGTTGGTATTCAGATTAGGCAAATTTTCAAAATTTTTAAATGCCTATTTATAAATAAATGTATAATATATTTAATTAGTAGCTGCAATAAATAAATATAAATAAATGAATATAAATGCTTTAATATTTAAATAGTAGTCATAAAATAAATGCATAAATATAACATTTATCAGTCCAAATTGTTAGTAAATAAATGCATCCTAATAAAGAATAATAATTGTTAATAAGAGTTTTCGTTTATTATTTAAACAATTGTGTAATTCATCATAATCATCTTTTGTGAAAGGATTCTTAAATACCATTACCATTGTTTTTATCATTAATACCAAACAATTTATCCAAATTTTTACAGCTATATCACTTCGAGTAACTTTAATTTGACGTTGAAATGAAGCAAGTTCTACATTTTCAAAGTGTATATTCTTCAAAAACCTATGGAAATATCATGGTCAATTATAACAATCTGACATCATGAAACTGTGATATTGGATTTGGTAAATTTTGCCAGGCTTTCAGATATTTAAATGATTTTCAAATTGTAAGAAATTCTGATTTTCCTTCTAGTAAAAGTGCTTCAATTATTATCTTAAGAAACTTTAACACTTTTCCGGCTGTGAGATGATAAACATCTTGTGATGATTGAAGATATCTTTCTCTTTTCAATTCATCAAGTATTGATGATTATAAATGCAATCCGTATTCAGTTGTAATTGCTTTACATTCTATCATTGTTGATGCTGCAGAAATTTCTTAAACTATTTATCTGTTTGATAATGATAGTGAGAGATTAACTTCAAATCAAAACTATCAGATGTTAATGAATCTTTTACCATATTACAGGTATGATATCCTCTATTAGTATCATGTTTTTTTACATTAACTAAATCACTGCCTTACAGCAAATTGCTAGTAACATTACTGAGACTTGCAATTATGAGACATTTTATTTCTTGAACATTCATAATTTTTCCAATTTCCAATTCCTTCATCTCTGTAATAAATGGCTTGATAAATTCATTAATGAATCACTAAAAGGGACGAATTCAGGTAGGGATGCTAATGATCATGGTTATGACCGATCATGACTATATCGATTGGTCAAAGGCTTCTGACTGACTGGATGTCTAACCAACTTTAACTGATTCTGATTGACTGGTTAACTGACTGACTTTGACTGATTCTGACCGACTGGTTTTGACAGATCCTGACTGACCAGTTGACTAACTATTTTGACTGACCAATTTTGACTAACTAATTTTTACAAAAGAAAATAAATTTTTAGATTAAAAGTACTATATATTATGTGTAATTTAACGCAGTAAATTTATTACAAAAGTACTTATTACCAAATATAAATTAAATACTAGTATCTAACCTATTAATTAACTTTAATTATATCACTAAAGTGATTAACATTGACAAATATTAAAATTAAAAATTTGCAAATCTTTAAGTATTACGCTAACTACCATTTGAGTTAATTTTAAATAAAAATTAGTTATCATTGCATTTTAGAACAATAATCTATATTTATTTTTTGTAAAAATAGCCAATGCAACTAAAATTTTTAAATAATTTTTTTTTGAATAATAAAAATGAATTTTTCATATGTCAATGATATAATTCTATGCTAATTTTTTGCATTTGAATAATATTAAAAAAATTTTTTCATATATTAAGAAACAAAAAAAACTTTTTAAAATGTAATAATATATTAAGAACAATAGTAATTTATTTTTATTCTTATAATCAATTGTAATCATCAATCTAAATAAAATTTTGAATAATAACAAATTATTAAATGTATACAATACAACTAAAATTTTAATTGTTAATTTTGAAAGCTTATAATTAATGTATGTAAAAAAAATTATTAAATGAATTTTTCATATATAAAGAAACAAAAAGAATCATTAAATAAAATAATTAAAATTTTAGCAGTTTTATTTTTTTGAAATGATACTTAAATAAAAAAATTAAAGACAAAAAAAAATAAATATATATATATAATAAAAATTTTTTACTTAATTCATATTTATTTACTTATTTTACTTATTCTTTTCTCTTTTTTTTTCCTTTTTTTCTTTTTCCTACCTCTTTTTTTTCTTAGTTATTTTTATATTCTCTTTTTTCATTTTAATAAATAAACATGTCTGATTATTCAATGGAAAGTGATAAAGACATTATTTCTGAAACTTATGAAAGCAGTATATATAAAAAAGAAATTGAAATTAATGATAAAATAAATATTGTTAATGAAGAAATTAATAATGAAGAAAATGAAGAAATAATTAATCCACTTTTATTCCACTTTCAAGAAAAATTAATAAAAACTGATGTATAGAATTATGTAGAGTAAACAATAAGAAAATGATACAATGTGAAAGTGGGGTTTGAGGACAGAATGTCTGACCCCTACTGAAACATAGTGTGTGTAGGCCACAGAACGTTAAAAACAATATCGATTATTTTTATTATATTAGAAAAGCTTTTAACGGCTCTAGAATCTTAATT